TCTCGCTTGGCGGCTGCGCTCGCTGCCGTGCTTGGCTCAGGCCACCTTTACTGCCGCTTACCTAGGCAGCTCCCTAGCTGCTCTTTTCCCTGGTCGCTGGGCCTGTCAGTGACGACTACGCTGTCTCTGCAGTAGCTTTTCCTGCTGGTTGCTTGCGTTCTGCTGGAGTAGTACTTTTCTTCTCCCGAGTGGCTTTTGCACAGCCTTGATGTAAGGTTTGGGGCTGTTTTCGGGCCTGCTGTTTCCTCCCATAACTTAAATGCACCTACTTTCTCTGATTTGGCATATTCTTTGATTATTTCCTCTCGGAAATCTTCCTGAGAGAGAATGTTTCCCTCAAGAGCTTCAGCAGCAGCCCCAGAGGGTTTTGATGCACCTTTTGTTTTATTGACCTGAAAATGGGTGTGTCTTTACTTTGTATTCAGAAGGTGGGTCTTGGAGAACTGTTTTATTGCTATAGTTATTCTTGCCCTAAATAGAAAATCAGTTTCTGAAAAGTGGTAAAGAAAGGACTGAGAAAGGAAAGGATACTTGGTGAGTAATAATTAACGTGTGAGTTACCTGTGGCATCTGGGGTTTACCGTGACTGCATACTTCTCATGGAATTGGGGGTGGTTTCAAAGTTACGGATATCAAAACTGCTTCTGCATTTTGCTCTGACATGAAAAGAGTTCATAGGTTAAGGATTTTCTGCAAAACTGCAGCTGAAACAAGAAAGCAATGCTTTGGGCTGCTAGTTGTGTAAGGAACAAAGGTTCATTAAGGGGCTTTGCTTGCAGAGGCTAACTGCTGGAGCTGTCTGTACTCACCTATCTGCAAGAAACGGCTCAGAGAGAGAATGTTTCTTGTTCCTCCTAATCTGCGTTTTGTAATTGAAGAGACTTTCATCTGTGGTATTGGAAACAATAGTTTCATCTTTGCAAAACTTTAGCTTGTATTCTCTGTCATGGCTACGGAGTGCTTTGATGTCACAGTTGAAAATACAACTGGTTGTGGGCAACAGAGGAATATTTGGTTAGACATCAGTAGTCCTAGACACACTGTGTCAGTGTATGATGATGGTATCTGCAAAGCTAAATCACTGGAGTTAGGAGTTTACGTAAAAGTGATTTCAAGATCGTTAGTCTAGGTGTGGAGTGAGGAGAAAGTATAATTGTTTTGCACCAAATGGAATCAGGTTTAATTTTGGTAAACTGCTCTTGGGCTTTTGTGTTTGGAAGCTTAATGTTTTCCTGTAATGGCTCTTGACTCAGAATTACAAAGACTGCTAGCACAGAACTCGTGAAATACTTACTTTGTTGTTCCAGATTTCTTATTTGATGAAATTTGGTGGTCGCATTCCACTTCAGTGCAGTATTTCAACGCAGTTTCATAACTGCAAAAGAATTATCAAATGAACTATTAACAACCCAACGTGTTTGAAAATCTTTTCTTTTTAATTGAAATCTTAAGTTAGAAGTCCTGACCATTCATGTGTATTTAATTTATAAAGTACCGGTGTACTAGTCTAAACAAGACCGAAGACTAAACGGTGGAATCAAGGTGCAAGAGAGCTCAGTGCCCGCTCGGCTGGCCCTCATGCCTGTGCAGTGCATGGCGGCAACCGTGCCGGTTTGGCAGTGGGACACGCATGCTGCGGGAGAGCTCCGGGTGCTGGGTTCTCCACCGCCGCTGCCGGCATGGACCCCAGGTTTTCTTGTACCGGTGCTCTCATCAGCATCACTGCTGTGTGCGTGGAGCCCTTCCTCTTTTTAAAAATCCCCATGACTTTTCACATAACTGAAGACTCTATTCTTGAACTAGTTTGCTGTGCAGTGTGTAAGGAGGTCATGTTGACAAATGACTTAACCACAAGAACAAATTTTAGTTGTAAGTAAATTGTGTGGCTTGCTTGATATGAAATGGGATTATAATTTCAAGATAATGCTCCTTACAATGCCAAGACGTGCTCCTGACGTTTGTGGAGACCCTGTGGATAAGAGACCAAAAAAAAGGTGGTGGGAGGGGGAAGAGAAAACTTAGTTACCTGTGAGTTTTGAATCCTGTTTTCTCAAGTCCTAAGCCACTTCATGGAAAACTCTTACAGTCATTGTGTTTGCAGCTTATTTCTTGTAAGTACTGTGAAGAACTTGCTGTTGACCTTTAGACAAGCTTACTGCTTTGTATTGCGCTGGCTCCACAAAGTTTTAATATGTTTACATGTTCTTAACTATGTCTACTGCATGAAGCTAAGTAGGGCAAATCCAGATGTGGTGTAGGATGTAGAAGCAGTGTTAAATACACTGGATTTTCAAGAGCTGGGTGCATACTGTCTTGTAATGCCTTCGAGTAAGCAGTGCTCTTCTTGAATGATCAGGACATATTCACTTCACGGGAAATAACAAATATACCTAAATGGTTGATCAGCATGCTGTGTGGGTGAAATGCATGTTCTGGAAGACGATGTAGAGATCTGCCATCTAATCAGTTCTTAGGACACCAGCACAGGTTAATTCCATTACTGGGAAAGGATTTTTTTACCTTTGGTTGAAAAATGGAAGTAATTTTCAAGACTGAGAAGAACTAATAAATTTAGGTTTGAACATGAATTTATGATATTTATATCATGCTTTATACTGGTAATATAAAAATGGAGAAAAATTAAGATTTCAGTATGAAACTGCTTTTAATTAAGGCTGTGTATTTGGATGGAAGCCCCTTCTTTGTGTGTTTGCTGTAGCTAATGCAGAAGAACCGCTGATCTTGTTGTCAGGCCTAGGTTTCCGCATGTGTTTGAATTTATGTTGTCTGACGTGAGTCACTGACATGTAAGTTGAAGCGGTATTTCCATGAAACGTTTCCTTGTACTGCTGGTTTGTCAGGCTTTGTTTAGCAAGGCTGTGAAGTTTGCATTTCTCCAGCAGATGGAGTGTGATCTACATGGAACCCCAGAGGTTACCTGGCTTCCTGCCCTCTGACTCTTAATTTAGAGGGTCAGCACTGATATGGTAGTTGCTTCTTGCTGGAATATTTCTGTCCTCGAAGGTTTTTGTCTAATTCCTGTAATACTGAAGCAACGCTTTTATTCAAGGCAGGAGCCTGCTTGAAATCTCAAGTTGATGCTAAATTATTTGGCGTCCTTGTTGTGTGTGTGTGTTTGACTTAGAGGTGAAACATGAATATTTTGCAGACTAGCAAATCACTTTATCTTTTAAGCTCATTTGTGTAAATTAAAAATTCATAAATGTGTTATGAAAAACATGATCTTAAACAATAGCTTTTGCTTCAACTTTAAGTCTTGACTTGGAATTAATTATCTGTCCATATCCCAGTACGTGGCCTTGAGATTAAGATTATTTCTGTTGCTTTGACATGGTGAATATAGGCCACTGCTCGAGGCAGATCTTGTGTTTGTGCAAATTCCACATGTCATTTTGGAACAATATGTACTAATTGGAAAAAAGCTACAAGTAGTTAGGAAAAAAAGTTTTGCAGGGTTACTTTAAATTCTGTTTCTTTCTTCGCTGTTTTGTTGTACTCTGCAGTGAGGAAGACGATGACTTTCAGTATGTGGATCATGACTATGAACTACCACAGCAGAAAGGTTTGAAGAAGATATGTAACAGGGTGAAATGGACACGTGATGAGGTAATACTTTTTTTTGGCTTTAGTTTCATTCCTGTATGAAATTAATAGCATGTGAAATATGTTATTATTTAATATCACATTGGGATAGCGTGTAAAATTTATTGGCTGAGGTTATGTCTTAACAGGATGAAAGGCTAAAGAAGCTGGTGGAACAAAATGGTACAGATGATTGGGCTTTCATTGCTAGTCATCTACAAGTAAGTTGAATCTGTGTTTCAGTTAAGTTTCCTTTTAATATTTATTTATTTTGGTCATATGTCTAGTTTGGGCGTGAGGTGAAATAGAAATCAGAAACACATAATAGTAAAAAATATTGTAAAGGGTGCTTATAAATTGGATTTGAGATCTAGCTCAGGCCTTGGAGAACCTTATCAGCTCAGGCTGGGACTCACATGATGGTGTGAAATGATCTAAAATAATTGATGCCTTCTGTCCACACTTGCTATTTGTTTTCATTCTTGAATCTATTTCTGCTTCCTATTGGCTGCACCGCTTGTGGTAATTACATATACAGTTCACAGGTTGCTTCTGAAGTGGTTAGGAGAGTGGGTTGCATCTGATATACTGCTTGAGAGAGCAGATCAATTTCTTAAACACTTTAGGAAAAAGGTGGTCGTTTTTTTTTGTTTTGGTGTTGGGGTTTTTTTGTTTTGTTTTTACAGTGATGTCTGCTTCCCTAACATATGTAAATCTTTCCACCCAATGATACCTTAAGTTTCTACAAATGGAATCTTAGCGGGTTTCTTGGAAGTTTCCTATTGACACTTAAAATTTCTTGCTCTGTTCCAGGTGGAACGAGTAAAGGAGCTGTTAGATGAAACATTAAATGACTCCTTAGCTGTATGGGCTGCACTGGTAGAAAATACCTACAGCTAGAATCAATGATGTTTGTTTTTCTTCTGATTAAATGTTACAAAATGCCTACTATAAAGACAAGGCTAGAATCTAAGGCTGAAATCACTATCTAAATGTGGTATTAAATATTCAAATGTTAAAAATCAAAAAAATACATGCCACCCCTGCCTTTGTGGTTCTCATACTATTGAGTGGGATGATATGGTTGTATGAAATTCCCGTGTAACTAGGTAAAAATAGACTTGGATTGTATATGCTGAACAACTGTAACTTTTTGTTGTTCTCATCATATTTGTGCAACTGTGGTGCTTCTGATTATTTTTTTTTCCAGGTGGCAAAGTATAGATATCAGAGGAATGAACTCAAAGCTTCTAAATTTAAGGAGTGCATAAGCAAATCACTATTCCTTACATGTGCGTTATCCCCTTCCAAAAAGCAGTGAAATGAGTGAACGGCAGAGGAGAAATAGATAATATCAAAAAGCTTTTATATTAAACTGTTTGAAAATACAGTGTTTGGTGATACTGATCTGCAGGTGTAGTATGGAGTTGCATTTAACAGATCTAGCAGTTTAATAAGTTCTCCAGATGAAAACAAATCCTTCTGGAGACTGAAAGCTGTTGTTCGGCTGGGCCCACGTGAGGCTGAATAAAGGCTCCCCAGCTATCAGGGGAAACATACATGGAGGATCAGGTTGCCCACTGCAGAATTGTTGATGCTGGAAGGAACCTCTCAAGATTGTCTAGTCTGAGCCCCCTGCTCAAGCAACGTCAGCTGGAGCAGGCTGCCCAGAACAGTGACCAGTTGGGTTTTGAATGTCTCCATGGATGGAGACTCCACAGCCTCTGGGCAACGTATTGATGTGTTCAAATTACAAAGCCAAATAATTAGAGGCTGGCATAATTAGCACTTGCCTTGTTACTGATGGTCTTTTGCTAGGAAAACCAAGTGTATCTCGAGGTATTAGCGTGTAAAGGCACTCAAACCGCCTTGTTTTCAGAATCTTATTTCACTATTGGTCTGGGCACAAGTAAACTTTCCCTCTGTTCTGCCCCAAAAAGTGAACATAGCTTAAAGGTGACCCTCAAGAGAGGGAACACAGCTTGTATTCTCTTTTGATTTATTGTGGCTAAGGCAGACCTGAAAAGATTTTATGCTTTTATCCAATCATTTGTTTTGCTCTTCTCCCCTGGATATGTCATGATCTGAGAAATGTCTGGACGGTAAAAACACTAAAAGGCCTCAATTTCAAAATAATTCTTTCATTGAAAATGGGAAAGGCTACCCTGTATTGAGTCTTTTATAGCTTGTCTCCACCAGGAAATGGTGATGTTTTGTAACAAACTCTAGTGTGCTTTTAATCATACAGTATCTGCTTGTGATTTAACTTGAAGGTACTGTGATCAACGTAATTTTAGATGTAACAATGTTTTGAGTGTTTTTTCTGGTCTTGCAGACCACTTGTTTAACTTCATGTCGGCATGGTAATGCCTTTACTTGGTAGACCAGACCAGCAAAACCTTGAAATTGGTACTTGCAGTCCAGCAGCTGGCTCGGAAGAGAGTAAATCCTTACGTCCCAGTGTTACATAAGGTGTACTAGTATGCTGTGCTGGGACAGGCTCTTATCTGCATATTTCTAAGGATTGCACTAGCTACCCTGAGAGTCCCAAATTTTCCTATCTACACACAATTTTTAGGAGGCTAAGTGAAAGCTTACTTCTCTTTCGTAACTGGGAACAATATTTCAAAAGATCCTTAGTGAAGCTACAGAAAAGGACCATCTGTCCTGAGCAGAAAAAGCAATGTTGTTTCATTAGTATGTGTTAACTAAACTTGATATAAATCTGTTTTCCTCAACGCTCTAGTAAAGAGCTGAAAATATATTAATTTGAGGCTTAGAAAAAAGTTTATTCTTTTATTTGAAAGAAAAAGTATTTCCTTTAAAAATTTCTTTCCTTGTATAGGTTATAGATAATGTCAAAAGCATGTCAATCACAAAGTTCAGAGAAGGTGTGGAGTAATGAGGACAAAAATAATTCTAAGTTTTTCTTTAAAGAAGAGTAAGTTCTGAATTTGATTATCAAGTAAGAACATTGAAGTAATTAGATTAGAGCTTTGTGCAAGGCTGTTTTTTCTGGAGAAGAGTTCTTGTAAGCAAATGGAAGAAGAAATAGTAAGGGGGAATCTAACTATTATACTTGGAACAAAGGTCTGAATAAGTCTTTTAATTTGAAATAAACTAATAATTCTGACTAGCCAATATTGACAGTTTTATGTATTCAAGAGTTTAACAGCTACACTGGTCTTCTAAAATTATTTCAGAATCGTTCAGATTTTCAGTGCCAGCATCGATGGCAGAAGGTACTAAACCCAGAATTGATTAAAGGTCCCTGGACTAAAGAAGAAGATCAGAGGGTAATAAAAACTAATTGATGCTGTACTCTTTTACTGGAATAAAATTGGCATGTGACTGCTAAGAATGTGTACTCTTCCCTAGGTTTTATCCTCACAAAGATGGTGTCTGATGCATCTTGTGACATAGATAGTTACATTATGTTATGCTGTGTGAGAAGAAAAAAAGTGCAGCTGCTCTTAAATAGATGGAATGTCTGGTCTGCTCAAGTGTTTCATTTCCCTTTGCTCAGATTGCTAGCTGAACTGCTGTAGCTTACCAAGTAGAGGAGATCTCTTTACAAAAAAATATATCAAATAAATATCAAAGGTCTCATTTACATCTTTTGCTCCTCAAACCCACCAGACTTAAAAGAGGTTGTGAATAAGGGAAATTATTTCATACTCTACTGTTAAAGAAGCTAGCAATGGTGGTTTAGACTCCTTTTCTCCATCTTTGTTAATTCACACTGCAACTTTTTGCCTGCGAAACCTGGGCTGCCCTGTAGGGACGTGCACATGTATCACATATCGTATTTCAAATCAATTGCTTATTCCCTCTATTTAAAACTGTTTTAAGATGTTTAAAACTAGTATTTGTCAACTTGTGAATATGGTCTTCCTAAGCTATTTTTTTGTATTTGGCATCAGTCTTTTAAGAAAAAGCTTCTAATGTGTAAAAACACGTAGAAACGGGATGAAGGTTGGGAGGTGTGAGTTTCTCCTCATGTGTATGTTGTTGAAAAAAGTCAAATCAAGCATCTTTACCAGCTTCTTTTTTGGTCTTTCCTGATGTCAGCTTATGTAATGGATGACAGAAAGGAAACTTCTAAATAAATGTTTTCATCAGTATATGCTTATATTCTAAACACAGTGAATTAGGAGTTGATAAGCGATTTTTAGATTTCTGGAAAAATAATTTTTAAAACCTCAAGTCACTGCCTCCTTAGGCCTAGTATCTTATCAAGTTGAGTATTTTAATCCTGTTCTAAAATGTGAGTTGATCAGTGTTCTTGGTCTTTGGTTAGGAAAATTAGGGTTTGGAGTCCTAATGTGCTTTCATCTGTGTTCCAGGTTATTGAATTAGTTCAGAAGTATGGTCCAAAGCGCTGGTCTCTAATTGCAAAACACCTGAAAGGAAGAATAGGCAAGCAATGCAGAGAGAGATGGCATAACCATCTCAATCCTGAGGTAAAAAAGTCTTCATGGACAGAAGAAGAGGACAGAATAATCTATGAAGCTCACAAGCGTTTGGGAAACCGATGGGCTGAAATAGCAAAACTTCTTCCTGGAAGGTGCTTTTCAACTCTTTGTGTTAAATATTGGAATATGTAAAGTGGTCATCGCACAACTCTTTCCAATGTAATTGGTTAGTCAGAGAGCATCTGTTGAAACTTACATAACGACATCTTTATCTTAATAGATCCTGATACTTTTTAAGATCTCTTGCATTTGATTATGTATCCTTAAAAAGCCATAAAAACACCTCTAATGCTCTGCAGTTCCTTCAAAAATCCTCCTGTTGACTTAGAAAAAGCTGTAGTAGAGCTGAATAGTAACTGCAAGTAATAGTGGAAGAACATCTTATGAGTTGATATCAAAGTGCCTTCATTAATATGCATTTGGGCATGACTTTCTTTTTGGCTGAAGATCAGAAGTTTTTCTTTTGTGGAACACTTCTTGTTGAACAGGATATTTGAAAAAGAGTCATAGTAACCTTCAAAAGTCCAGGCTTAGGCGTCATGCGTTGTGAAGCTTGTTGGTTACCATGTAGTCTCGAAGTTAAGAATGAATGATATGCATTGTTCACCTTATTTTTGTTTCACATGTGATTACCAACTTGTATACTTGTGGAAAACCAAATTTTAGTGTATAAAGAGTTTAATAAAATAATTTTTTTACCTTGTATTGTTGAATGAAATACACTGTTAACCTGTCCCTCTCTGAATTCAGCCTGTCTGTTCAGGAGGTGACTGTCTAGCTGTGCCTAACGAATGTCAGCACTTGTTATGTTTGGAGAATGAGTCCTTAGAGATGTGTGTTTAGAAAATTTGACACTTTCATTAAGTACACAGTCCATGAATCACAGGAAAACTTTTGGAGCAATAATGAGGGGAATGGATCACATCTTCACAGAATTTCAGAGAGGGAAGATGAATTTGTAAGATAGGCGCATTCCTAGTTCGCTAACTTAATTTGTTGAAAATAAATCCAAGAGATGGGATCTTAGACCTAGAATATTTGTAGAGTCTAACACTAGTCGGATGAAAAAGGGGAATACTTCTTGGAGTTGAGCTTAAGTGAAGAATGGGACTTGGCAATTTTTATTTCTGTGTATGTCATTCTAAGGCCAGTAATAACATTGCTAGTATTTTAGACTGTAATGCATTCATAGTTTCCTCTTGCCTTAATGCTTGTCTAGTGTTAAAAGTGATTTCAGCCTACTTGTCAAACTGCAGGCATTTTCTTTCCAAGGGGAGTTACAATGGGTATGGTCTGCTGCCATGCCTGCTTTCCCCTGCTTTTAAAGAGGTAATGGGATGTTCTTCCACAAAGCTGCACGTAAAACTCAGAGCTGGGAATGCAGGCTGTCATTTTTTTAGAAGAGATATCTTCCAGTGACAAACACTAGCCACACTTCCTTTGTTATGCTGTGGGATAGTAGGATGATTGCCTTAGCTTCACGTTCTGCAAATTTGTAGCAGAGGGTAAATAACGTAGTGAGAGAGAACATGCAGTTATTCAAAGTATCCAAGAAAAAAGATTCTTGCCCATGGTAATAGCCAGAACCAAGGCTTTCTCTTTTGCTACTTTTAATTTCCTGCGAACTTGAAGTTTAGTAGTAGAAGGAAGTTTTGAAAAGAGTAGCTTTTTAGTCATTATGCCAAAACCCTGCTGATCATAGAGCTTTCAGTCCAAGGTGCTGGAGCTTTCTGGATTTTTGGCTTCAGATTAACGTATCGTACAAACCCTGTAAATTATGCTATCTATTGAACTTTGATACATGGAAACCAGTCACTGTTGTACACTTTCATTTTAGGACTGATAATTCCATTAAAAATCACTGGAATTCAACAATGCGAAGAAAGGTGGAACAGGAAGGATATTTACAAGATGATATGAAGTCTGAAGGAGCTAGTTCATCCAGACTTCAGCCCCAACCTTGTCTAACTGTGGAACACTTGCATACTCACAATCAATTTTACATACCTGTTCAGACACATGTAAGTTCAAAATCCAGACTAATTTGTATTTCCCAGTTTCAAATAATTTATTGGGTTTGGAGCGAGAAACAAATCTGAAAGAACGAACATCTGTCGAGCAATATTCTGATATTATGGTAACTTAGGATTTGTAAACCATAATACTTAGTTTATGTGCCATAAGCTAGAGATGATTTTATAGCCTCCTTTCCTTTAGGGTTTGTGAAAATAATTTGTGTCTTTTTTAGATTCCAGCATACTATTATGCCTCGCCCGAAGGCAGCTGTCTAGAACATGCCTCAGCTTCTTCCAACTTAGTTCAGGTAAATTGTTAACGGGAATTGTACATAAGGAAAATGTACTGTATATTATGCTGTAAAATGAAGAGTTTAAACCCCTGTAACTTCAAAATGTCTTTAAGTCTTTATCACTCACTGAAATTTATGTAAGTGTTCCTCTGTAAGCAGGCTTCTTAGCTTAATTAGTAGTTCTAGGTAGGAAAAAAGGAGCTATCTATACATCCTAGAAACACAAGCACTTGTGCTTGTTTCTGACAGAAGTGTGGGTCAAAACATAGTCTACTACTTAAATCTTTAGGTTAAAATTATGACCTGTTAGTATTACCTAGCTTCTGAGAGATTTAAAGACAAGACTTTACTGCTTTATACATGTAATAAATATAACCCTATCTGAAAGACTCAGTTCAAATAACTTACTGTGACTTACACTTATGGCTGTGCTTTTTTGTTCTCAATAGTTTTTAGTTTTTTCTGACTCAAAAACTTCTGTCAGTCAGTTGAGGATGCTCTTTTGCAACATTCTAAATGCTGAAGTATTGAGAAACTTTAAAACAAACAAAATTAGATATATTTAATTACTTTTGCTCCTTTGGGCTCATTTAGGCTGTATCTGAAATTCCTCATGTGTTGCAGACTGAACGTAGATCTTGGTTCGTAATATGACTTCCTGGAAGAATTTTTGTGAATATGAAATTAGTAAAAAGTTATTCTGACACAGGGAATAAGACGTGTTTTGTTTGTACTGGATGTGTTAGAGGCATTCTGCAGAACTCTGTACGTAACCTTAAGTTTCCCAGTGCAGGTCATGTATTTCATGTGGCATTTTCTTCTCTGATCTCAGTATAAGAATACAAATCATAACAAAGCCTTGTGTGGTCTTTGACACTCTGGATTGCCCCGTACAGAAAAGTATAAGATACTTTCTGCTCCTTGAAGTCCTCCCTAAACTGTGGAGTATAACTGGTTTTGAAACTCATGGCACATATCCTCACTTACCTATATTTATAACAATGATAGAAAGTTTTAAGGAAGTTAAAAACAAACCAACCAACCAAAACCAGGTAGTTAATTTTTCTGATAGTAGTGGTGTAGAATTGCTTGTGTAGACACTCTGTCAGCAAATGCTGATTTGAAACACTTTCTTGCACACTTAGTGACGATAAGTAACTCATAATTCTAGATAGCACATCAAAATGCAAGCACGTCTACCAAGGTGCCAACATTGTTGCTTCTGTTAAAGATAGGACCGAGTGACTTTTGGCTAAAAGGTGCTATAGTGTACTGATTATTTATGGGCCATATTAGAAACCTGTTAAGATATTAGCTTGTGTACCAGTTAAACATCAGATCCATCTCCTGGTAATTGCTGGAGTTGTTCTGCTCATGACTGACTAATTACAAAATATGATACAGCTTGAACAGCTCTGTGACTGCTATGTGTGAATTTCTGTTAAAAATGTAGGTGTGTTACAATGTAGAATCTTTACTGTGGAGGGTTGGTGGAGGTGGAAAATATTAATGGCTTCTTTCTTAATTTTTTTAGCAGTCACTTATTGATGATGATCCTGATAAAGAAAAGAAAATAAAGGAACTTGAATTGCTACTTATGTCAGCAGAGAATGAAATCAGAAGAAAACGAGTGTCTTCTGTAAGGACTGTAAATTTCTGTCAATATTTGAATGTGCTTTATTGAGATTAATCCTCAGCAATGGATGTTTGGTTTTGTACAGTGTTTTTTCACCCAATCTTCTAAAATCAAACTTAAAGCTGTTGGGCTGTAAAACAAAGTCTATATATTAGAATTGAAACAATTATTTTTATTACAGTTTTCTAAACTGTGAAAACAGCAGAAATGACCTGCAATTTGGCAGTTATTCAAAGACCCAGGATTTTAATCTGCTTCAAGAGGTAGCATGTTTGTTGATATCACCGCCATTCAGTTTTATAGATCAGCAATGTCAATCATCTGTTCAAAGAGAAAGGTTAAAAATACATAGGTTTTGCCCTATTTGATTTCAAAACGTCCTGTAGGTTGTATTTTTATCAAACTTCTATGTGAGCGCTTGCAATACTTAATATCTACATTTGGACGTGACAAACAGTATGTAAATTTGCACTGTACGAAAATTTACATGTACTTCAGTGGAATAAGGGAAACTTGCAGATGAGTCACTTATTTCCTCAGGAACAGTGAACAACATCAGACACCTTACCAACTCAACCCTATTTATCACTGATTTAGGTTACAGGTGAACTTCCTTTTCTTTGTAGTGGAGCTATTCCTTTTGAAACAGTGCACGTTCTGCTTATCTAGTGGAATCTGCCTGGCTTCTAGATTTCCAATGAAAATGAAAATCTCTTTCTTGAATACTAATGGGATAACCATTTAGAAGTTAAGTATTAACTATAGATGCAGAATCTGCGTTAAAAAAAAAAGTATTTCACATTCTAGAAACAGTTTCTAATCTTGAAATGTAACTATGTTCTGTAGTGAAGATGAATTTGTAATATACTGATGTTCAAGACACAGGAAACTTGCATCAGAGATGGCTTCCAGTGCAACCTATAATTATCTAAGTTATAAGCATGTATAAGATATGAATGAGAAGTAAGATAAAAATCTTACACAGTTTGAGAATGTTGAGTATGTTAATTTAAGGAGAAGACTAACTGCATTAACGCAAACATGATTAGCGTTTGGAAAAGTAAAAATTAAGTTATGCTTAGTCTCTCCACATACTACTTTTTTTCCTTCCCGCGGTCACATAAGTGACTCTTCAACTTCTAAGTTGAATAAGATTAACATGTTTCTTCATACTTCTTAGCAAGCTGGAAACTTACCTTGTTGGTCTGGAAGTTTTGTCACGGAAGAGTGGGTATCTAATACACTAAATAGCCTCGGGGAACAAACAAGTGAGTTCTACAGCATGGATGAGACCCACAGCACACCTGTTCAGCAGAATTCACCACCTAAGTATTTGCCTGTGGAAGCAAATACAATGTTATCATCTCTACAAACCATTCCAGATTTTGCAGAGACACTAGGGCTTATTGAATCTGTAAGTCTGTATTTCTTCTAAAAAATGTTTATTTAGGAATATCAACTTACACAATATGTGTAAAATACTTTTGCCTTATTCTGTACTTGCCTGTAGTTTCACTCATATCAAGTGATTTGTTTTATTGCCTGTTTTAAAAGAACTGTGTCTTAAAACACTCAGTGTTTTAGGATTGTGTGAAAGGTACAGGGAGAATAATTCAGTGCATGGCTTTTGGAGGTCGAGGGCTGTTAGATTGGCTTGGATGTCGTGAAATAATATTGGGTAAGCTTGCTAGTGTTTGAGTGTTTTGCATCTTGCCTCATAGGATCCTGTAGCGTGGAGTGATGTCCCCAGTTTTGAGCTTTCAGAGGCTGTTGCATCTCCTGTCAAGCCAGCTCCAGTAAAACTAATGCGGATTCAACACAATGAACGGGCTGCTGAATGCCAGTATAATGTCAGCGTTGTGCTCGATGGCAAAAAACAGAGTAGCGTCAGTGGCGAGGAAGAAGGAGTTTTTCCAACAACCCTGAACTTCACGAAGTTCAGCTCTCCACCTACTATCCTAAGAAAGAAAAAGAGATTGCGTGTTGGGCAATCAACAGTTCATGAACTGAATGATGGCTTGTGTAATGGTGCCATCAATGTTGCACTAAAGCAAACACCAGTGAAAACACTACCATTTTCTCCATCACAGGTGAGTTTGTTTGAAGATTGCAGTGGGTGGATTATAAATTAAAAGTACTTTCTTCCCTAGTCATATATTGTAGCCTAAACAAATATGTCCAGAAAACTTCTTAAAACATCAGCATAAGGGTAGATATATTAAAAAGAAATTGTTAAATAACCAATTTCCTCTGTTTTAAAGACTAACTGGGGGCATGGGGACAGAGACTTGCATCTCAGCTCACGCTTTCTCATGCAAATAATTGTTGATAGAGACCTATTGTCTCTGTGACCTAAATTAAGCAGTCAGAATTTTAAGGAGAAAATCAAGGTTTTGGTGATAAATATAGCAAATGTCTTGGAGTATAAATCAAAAATAGTTTATTGGGGTTTGTCAGTAAAAGCCCTTTGTGTGTGTGTGTGTATATATATATATATATATATATTTACTGCTCAGTACATTTGTGATGTTTTGTCCTTTGAAGTTGCTTAGGTTTTTTTCTCCCTTGCACTTAGTTTTTCAACACTTGCTCTGGAAATGAACAATTTAACCTTGAAAATCCTGCATTTACATCAACTCCAATCTGTGGGCAGAAAGTTCTTCTTACAACTCCTCTACACAAGGAAATGACACCAAAAGATCAAAAGGAAAATGTGGGGTAGGATTATTGCATTAAACATCTGGTGGTGTTGCTCAAATAAAAACAAGTTTTTCTAAACATTGAGAAACTAGTCTACCTGTATGCATACTGTGAATGAGTTTTAAAACCCCTAATACTTGTGTACAAACAAACTGGCTTCCTGTTTTTAATTTAACAGAAAGTGACTTTTACTCAATTAAAATTTTTCCTTTTTTAAAATACTGAACAAAATCCAATCAAAGTTTAATTTACCTGGGGGAATGCTATGGTAATTTAAATTCTTTCAGATTCATAGTGGTGATATCTGTTGTGTAAATTAAGGTATTTTTAAATGTTTCTTAGATTAATTTTATTGCATTACTCTTGATAAAGTCAAATGGTGGAATGCATGTACGAACACTTTTCTATGCTTGAATAGTTTTAGAACGCCCACAATTAGAAGATCTCTTTTGGGTTCAACACCAAGGACACCAACTCCTTTTAAAAATGCTTTGGCTGCTCAGGAAAAGAAGTATGGTCCTCTCAAACTTACGGTATGTGATGATATTGTTTATTTTCTTCTTTGTTAAAGTCTAAATGCTCTCTTGTTTTTGAGGTATTGTAAGCCTCAGCACAATCTTAGAAAGCGTTTTCTAACAATGCCATTGTTTCAGTGACATTATTATTATCCTTGAGAACAGCTCAAATGTGAATCAAAAACATTTCAGTTTTTGTGTGTTAGACTAGTATCCTTCAGTGTAGTATGGAGGCATGTCTTTTTGAAAGTTATTTGATACCTGTAATAATTTGATCCATACTAATCTTAAATGCATTGATTCTGCATTTGTGAGTTGTTTTAGATTTGTGTAGCCTTGCTAACACTGCACCTCTTACGAGGTGGTAACATCATTGTCTGAGATTTTACTTTTAATACTTTAGCATTCAGATTTTTCAAAAGAAAAAATGTGAGATAGTGAATGGGTATGGGTCCTCCAAATGAATAATCTAGTAAGAGCAAACTGGTGCAGATGAATGTGACTGACTGTTGTTCTAAGCAGCTTTCACATTTGACTTGAAAAACTGCATTATCTTTGAATCCTCTGGTCTATGTAAGAGCTGAGTTGTTTTCTGGTTTTAGTTCTTCTACAGTGCTAGGACTGAAACTAGATGTTCACCACAGCGTGCTAGTGTTTTGAGAAGTTTTTGATGGGAAGATGTTTGGAAGTGTTTTATCCTTCTTAAGGGCTTGAGTGATGTCTACAATTTTCTTCATCCTAAAAAGCAAAATCTTAATATAGCAATTCACCTTTGTTTCTTTTTGCTGTCAGACTTTTTTTTTTTTTTTTTGGTTGACTATGGATAATGTTACTTTTTGTTTTGTTTGTTTGTTCCAAATTAATTCAGTTTTTGCTCTCTTCCTAGCCTAGCTGAGGTATGTTAATGCATAATAACTTTTGGAATTCAGTAGACATATGCTTTTCAAGTTCTGAAAAAATTCCAGCCAATATATATTGACTACTTCTTTTCTGCAAGCACAGAAGGTAGCTCAGACTTTGCCACA